TCCCCACAACAGACACCCTGTGAGGTAGGTGGGGCTGAGAGAACTCTTGACAGAAACTGCTCTTTTTCAAGAACAGCTGTGCCAGAGTTATGGCTTGCCCAAGGTCATCCAGCCAGGTGCAAGTGGAGGAGTGGGGAATCAAACCTGGTTCTCCCAGATTAGAGTCCGCGCACTTAACCATCCCACCAACTTCTCCCTGATCCCTCTGCCACCTAAACAAAAGTCCACCGGCTGGCCGCTTGCTAAGTTATCTCTCTGGCAAGCCTTTCAGGCCCAGGGAGGAGAGCAGGGAAGACGCAGCCTGCCTGGTTCTTCCTCAGGTGTCAGGGGAGGGAGGGGCTCCGGTTGCTCCTCCCACCACCCCTGCCTATCTGTCTACCCTAAATGCAATGTAGTAGCACATGGGGAATAGTCCTAATTATTCCATATCTCAAGAACCATCCTATCTTCAAAATATTTAAAGAAATGCAAGATACACAGCAATTGAAATTTATACACAAATTTACATACATTTCCGGATGTGCTGTGGCCAAAATAAACTGAAATTGTGCTAATTTTTAAACCTACTTTTAAGCATTTGAATTCATGGAATGATCTTAGTTACCACAGCCTCTTAATCAAAGGCATGGAGTATACTTTCATTAACATTTTGGTGTATCCTCACATAGGTTTTCCTCTACCTTGGCTTCCAGTTACAGCATCCACATGACATGGGTTGATTCCACATGGACTTTTTACTCAGTTTCCACAATCACATATTGTGGGATTTGTTTTGTTTTTTTATTAGAATCATAGAATCATAGAGTTCGAAGGGACCTCCAGGGTCATCTAGTCCAATCCCCTGCAGAATGCAGGAAATAGCCAAATATCACCCCCACACCCCCAGTGCCCCCTGCTCCATGCCCAGAAGATGGCCAAAAAAATATCTACCAGCCCTCCAGGATCCCTGGCCAAACTGGCCTGGAGAAAAATTGCTTCCTGACCCCAAAGTGGTAATCAGCATTTCCCTGCCTTGTCCTCTTTTACTGGAAGCTGCAGCTGGCCATCTTTGAGCGAACAGATCACAACTGTAAGGGGGGCACTGGCTTGAACACTCTGCCAACAGCCTCCTGTTCCCAGGAAGAGTTCACCATGTGTACACTGCTGTCCTGGCCTGGAAAAAATTGCTATACAAAAATGTATAGATGGGCTTACTGTCGAAATTGAACCTATTAGATCCAATTTACTCATGTTTCCCTCCCCTCCAGGCAACCCTTCAGGATCTGACATCCCCAGTCTTCTCTCATCTGGCATCTCTATTCTTGGCTCATATGGCACTTCTGATCTTCGTTCTGTCATGCATGACCATGCGGAGGTGAAGATGGAACCTCTTTGGAAAGTAGTGGAGAATCGGTACCAAATCAATAACAAGTATGACACCAAATACAAACCTCGCCCTGTGCGTGAGATCGTCTCTAAAGCAAAGGCAGCCGTGGGGACAAAGATGCCCTATAACGTCCTCAATAACAACTGTGAGCATTTTGTCACTAATCTACGTTATGGCAAACCTGTCAGTGACCAGGTATGTAGATGCTCTTCAGGTATGTGTACAAAGTGTCTGGCAACCGGTGGGAGCTTGGGTGGCAAGGACATAAGAACATAAGGGAAGCCAATTGTCAGAACCCACAGCCATCAACGTAGTACACGCTTATCAGGAAAGGTAATACTTTATTGAAGAGCCATAGATGCATTAACATAGGCACTGTTAAGAATGACGGCTGCCCCTTGGGATAATAGGATATAGGGTATTTGTATGCACCCCCCCACTGCCCTGGCCAATTAGCCACCCTCCCGCGCGCGGGAGAAGGCACTCCAGCCATTAGCGCTGAAGCTGGGAACCAACCTCTCTCCCATGGTTCCTGTGAAACCAAACATCAACATTCCACCACCTGCAGAACTTGAAGATAAGCGTTACAGCAGCTAAGAAGCACAGAAGGAATGCAATAGCAATTAGAATACAACCGACCTCCCCATGCCCCATGGCAGCATAGCTGACATACTGCCCTCTCGAAAATCAGCTTCTCCCTACCATTCCGGGAGATCTCCCCACCATTCCGGGAGATCTCCCGGGCATTCCAGGAGGTCTCCCGGTTTGTACGGGAAGTCCCAATGAAACTTCCACAATAGTCTAGGGGCCAGAATATCCCCTACTTCCACCCATTCTAGGTGCTGAGGTCCGAAATCCAACCATTCAACCAAATACATCAACTTCCCATGTTTGATCTTAGAGTCCAGAATTTTAGATATCTCATAATGTTCCTCGCCCTCCACCAAGATCGGAGGGGGTACCGGTTTCGATGGACGCCAAGGACTGGAACCAGAATCCTTTTTCAGGAGGCTGAAATGAAACACAGAATGCAGTTTTCTCATGTTTTTAGGCAACTCCAGTTCCGCAGCTACATCATTGATCACCCTTTTTACTGGAAATGGACCAATGTACTTCCACCCTAACGTCCGACTAGGGCGCAGCACCTGAATGTTTTTTGTAGATACAGGCTGTAGAGCCCAACCCTCCACCCTTCTCTTATCAGCCTGGCATTTGTACGCTTTCTTGGCAGCATTTAAAGTCTTACATAGAAGTGGCCATGAGTCTCGGTGAGGAACTGGTACCGGGGCAGAAGGTGACACCAATGCACTCGGCTGAGTGCTGGCCGGTGTGGGCGGCTGAGCCGCATCCCCCGGCCCCAAGTCATTGTCCCCTTCCAGAAATGGTACAGGTGGGCTGTCATAGCCATACAGTGCTTTAAATTGGGACATTCCAATAGAAGAGTGACACGTGTTGTTGTAACAGAATTTGGCTAGAGGCAAGAGGTCGACCCAGTTGTCCTGTTGATAGTTAGCAAAACAACGGAGATATTTTTCCAAGGTCTGATTAACCCGTTCCGTTTGTCCGTCGGTTTCTGGGTGATAAGCACTGCTCAGGCCCCTCTCCACCCCCATCAGCTTCATGAGCTCCCCCCAGAACCGAGACACGACTTGGGTTCCCCAGTCAGACACCACCACCTGAGGTGAACTTGCTGTGCCATGTCTCTCCCCCTCCCCCGGTTTTGTGACTGGGCAGGACTGGGTCCCGCATCACAGGGGGTGGAGGGGTTAGGCGGGCTTGGCTGCGTGTCATCACTGCCCCTCCCAGATGGGAAGGCATGAACACTGAGTCCAAACCCACCTCCTGTTGCCTATCGTGTTGGGGTAGACGTGATAGGGCGTCAGCCAACGAGTTCGCAGAGCCGGGGAAGTGGTGCAAGGTGAATTGGAACTTGGAGAAGAAAACGACCCACCTTAGCTGTTTAGCATTCAGTCACCGGGGTGTTTAGAGCGTTTCTGAGTTCTTATGATCAGTCCAAACCTCGAACGGGACACACACACCCTCCAACCAATTTCTTCAAGTGGAAAGGGCGAGCTTTATTGCCCCTGCCTCCTTTTCTCAAACGGACCACTTACGTTCTGTGTCACTGAATTTCCTTGACACATATGCCAAGGGATGCAGCAACCCATCCCCTCCTTCTTGGAGAATCACCCCCCCCCCATGGCAACATCGGACGCATCAGTTTGTACGATGAATTTTTTCGTTTCATCGGGGTGGTCGGCTGCAAAATGGCCCCTTTCCCACACTTCAGGCAGAGCCCTCGGCGCATCTGTTGCTCCCGAGCAGACTCAGACTGCCGCACCGATTTCCCCTTCTGAGCCGAAGTTGTAGGCTTCCCTCCTGCAGTTGCGATGTCCAGACGCAGGGTGTTTAGGCGGGTCTCCGCACTCTCCGCCTCTTGCATCCACGCCGGGAGGGAGACTGGATCTACAGCTCAAAGGGCCGTTTCTTGGATTTCAGGATTCAGCCCCACTCGGTATAGCTCCGCCAGCACTGGGTCAGGCCAAGTTTGAACTTTGGCCGCGTGCAACTTAAACTCCGATGAGTACTCTCTCACCGATCTCTTGCCTTGCTTCAGGGTGCATAAAAACGCCCTTGCCTTCGGCCCAGCGTTCCTGTCTTCGAATTGGGCCTGCAATGCCCACATAAAAGCGTCCAAATTTATTAGCTCCGGGCCCTGTGCGTTGTGCAGCCCCACATACCAAGCCGCCGCGGGCCCCCACAAGCATGCCACTACTACATCCATGCGGCTGCTGTCATCTGAGAACAGGTGGCCCGATCTTTCCACGAACGTTAACACTTAACCACAAAGTAGGAAAGTTCCTCAGGGTTCCCGTCGAATGTGGCCTCGATGAGATCCTTCGGGCGATGAATCACCTGACCCCTCGGACTGCCTGGTCGGGGAGCTGGAATCGGGGCCTCCCCTGGGCCCAGCCTGGGCACATCTCCAGGCAGCTGCGGCGGTGGGGGAGCCAGTGGGGCCATAGGCACCACCGGTGCCACCGGGTGGGCTTCTCTCTCCTCCCTAATGGCTTGGATCACCAACTGCGGGAGCACATGGATAACTTCCGCCAGATCCCGCTGAAGCTGTCGACTCTCCCTCCGCCACCTCCATCCTGTGAGTCAGTTCCATCCCCTCGTCCAGGGGACATTCGCCCACTCCTTGCCTTCGACCTTTCCATCACCCACGGGGCCGGTGGTGGTTCAAAGGAGGCCCCATACGGGGGGAAACCTCCAGCTGAGGTAAATCCCAGGTCGAACCTGCTATCTCTCGGGGGGCCCTGCGCAAGCATATAAGTCTCGGCAGTGGAATCCAGTTTAAATAGGCTCCATCTGGAACTCGGCTGGTGCCCCAGGCCGGGCAGCTGCCGCAGCCCCGAAGGGGTCAGGAACACCACAGTCGATGTCGTCTTTGGGACGGCTCCCTTCTCAGCCCCAGTCACCGGTGGCATGGTGGTCAATGGATCCGCTGCCTGGGTCGTGGGAGTCTTCCCCCCAGATATGGTAGGGATAGGGGGTTCTTCCTCTCCCTCCTCCTTTTTTTAAGGAATCTGTTTCTTCTCTCCGTCGCTCATCTCGTTTAGGGAGAGAGACGTTAGATAGAGAATGAAGAATTCTTAACAGAATGTCAGAACCCACAGCCATCAACGTAGCACACGCATATCAGGAAAGGTAATACTGTATTGAAGAGCCATAGATGCATTAACATAGGCACTGTTAAGAATGACGGCTGCCCCTTGGCATAATAGGATATAGGGTATTTGTATGCACCCCCCCACTGCCCTGGCTAATTAGCCACCCTCCCGCGCGCGGGAGAAGGCACTCCAGCCATTAGCGCTGAAGCTGGGAACCAACCTCTCTCCCATGGTTCCTGTGAAACCAAACATCAACATTCCACCACCTGCAGAACTTGAAGATAAGCGTTACAGCAGCTAAGCAGCACAGAAGGAATGCAATAGCAATTAGAATACAACCGACCTCCCCATCTCCCATGGCAGCATAGCTGACACCAATATTGGATCAGGCCAATGGTCCATCCAGTCCAACACTGTCACACAGTGGCCAAAAATACCAGGTGCCATCACACTAGAAGCCCTCCCACTGTTGCCCCCCCCCCAAGCACCAAGAATACAGCGCATCACTTGCCCCAGACTGACAGTTCCTATCTATACCTTGTGGCTAATAGCCTGAAAAGTACTGAGACTTACTAGCAATTTCAGCTCTCATACTTTATTTCAGCTCAGAACAAGATGAAAGCTACCAGCTCGCAGGCCGGTTTATAAAGGCAAACAACCCACACCCAAAACACATGCCCACACAAGTTGGAGCGGGCTAGGATCTGCTTGGCCCATTGTTCATTAAAGCGAAGCTCGGCTGCTTCACAAGACCACGTGGCGACCAAGCCGCACACGCGGTTGGAGCTTGATACATTACACCCCTCCCTCCTTGGTCCGAAAGACACCCACACACAAAGTCCTGCAAATAAGTGGGGACCTTCCTTGCTCTCGTGGAGCGGTGAGGAACAGGTACCGGGGTGGAAGGTGACACCGATGGACTCGGCTGAGTGCTGGCCGGTGTGGGCGGCTGTAGTCCTTGTCGCGCTGCTTCCCTTGGAGCGGCCGCGCTGTCTGCACGCGTATTGACAGGGGGTAGACCAGGCGCCTCGTCTGGCAGAGTAGAGGTATCTGGTAGCCGCTGGGAAGTGGCAGGCTCTGAGTTGTCCGGGCTCTCGAAGTCCTCCGGGTCACTCGACAGTACCCGCCAACGCAGCCGGTCGATGTGGCAGTGGAGTATCTGGCCGTCCTCACTGGTGACCTTGTATGATCGCGGTCCCCTCTTACCACCCAGGCTGGAATCCATGGCGGGCCCCGTGTGTAGTTCCGGGCGTAGACTGGGTCCTCGGGGAAAAATCCCTTGGCTGCCTTGGGTGACTCGGTGGCTGGTTCTTCCTCCAGAGCTCAGTCAGGGTGAAGGTGATCCAGCCAGGACGTCAGACGCCTTCCCAGGAGAAGCTCCGCAGGGCTGCATCCCGTTGTGGTGTGGGGTGTAGTTCTTTGGCTGAAGAGAAAGGCTGCCAGCTTGTAATCAAGTCCTTTGGCGTATCTCAGACTGTGTGAGAAGGGGGTGGCCCACGCCAAAGGAGTGGGTCCTTGGCA